CCNNCNCNCCCTACGTCCCCTCGTCGGTTGCCTTCGGCGACGTCTCACGTCGCACGCCCGACTCCCCGACTTCCCTCCGTCGCGAGCGCGTCCGCAGCGTTCACGGCCGCGGTGCGCTGCGCTGCCACGTCCGGCTCGGCTCACCTCGGCTCGTTGCCGCTCGCTGTGACGACACGTTCGCCACCTGTCGATACCCTTCCGACTCCCCCCCCCCCCCCCCCCCTCCCTTGCCGATCCACTCTTTCCCTTCGCAGGCCGGCCTCGTCGCACCTCGCTGGCTCGTTTTCCCATCCTCTTCCTTCTTCGTATTGCGCCTCGCTCAGATCAGCCCGTCCCTCCCCCTCTTCTCCACCACCCGCTCTGACCCGTCTCGACGCGCCCGCCTTGACGATCCCCATGACGAAATGCAAGCCCGCCGCCTGATACTGCACGACCGCTGACGCCCACCGCCAGAGTGGCGTGATCCGGTCTCAGCTCGGATGGGAGATTGGAAGAAATGAGGCAGGCGGTCAGGGGCCATCGAGGTTGGTAGTGTGCGATACGATGCAGTGCAGGTGGTCGTCTAGATGCGAGACCGTTTGCGCTCGCGCTCGTCGGCGTGCGCGTCTCGTCGATCCCGCTCTCGCTCCCGGTGCCGATGATGCCGCGGCGAAGACGGCGAGGCCGCACGACGATGTCGCCGTCGCCGCCGCTCCTCCTCCTCCACGTCCTCGTCGTCGTCCTCATCTCGATGCCTGCGTCGTCTGCGCTCGTCATCCATCCCGTCCCGCCGCCTCTCGCCGTCGTATCCACGGTGACGTGGCCGATCGTCGCGATGTCGCCTTCTACCGTCGTCGCCGTCGCCGTCGTCGTCGTCGTACTCGCGTCTCGGCCTTCTTGCGCCCCGTGGAGAACGCGAGCGAGAGCGAGAGCGAGGTCGCGACCGCTCTTTCGGCCTTTGATCGTCGTGTCGGTCAGACCTGTGGCGATCGCGATCGCGGTCGCGGCTTCTGCTCCTGCTTCTGCTCCGCCTCGATGCGCCTCTCTGCTCTGGACCGTCCCTCGTTGGCCTCCCAACGCGCATCTCGTCTCTCCGCTGCCGCACTGCGAGCGGTGCACTGTTCGCGCCGGTGCCAGTGCTCCTGAGACCGGCTCGTTCGCCGCCGTCGCCGCCGCCTCCACCAAGAAGCACGGGGCAGTCCCGCTTGAGGTGTCCCTCGGCGCCGCAGTGGAAGCATCCGCCGCCTCCTCCTCCCGCCGAGCCGTTTCCCAGGGCGGGGGAGCGCTGCGCGAGGCGCGACGTGTCCTCGTTGGCGAGGTGCGTCCACTTGGACCGCTTGGCCTGGCCGTAGTTGCGGACCTGCATGATCTTGGGCAGCTTGGTCTTGTCGATGGCTTCCGACTCGGTCGGCGCCGAATAGTCGCGTTTGAGGATGTCCATGTCCTGTTCGCAGGGCGGAAGCAGCACATCCATGTTGTCAGTCTCAGGGCCTCTGCAAGATGCAGAGGAGCAGCACCGACTGCTTCTGCCTTCTGCCGGCAGCTCACCTGGAAGAAGCCACCCTTGTGGTAGTAGCGCTGCATGAAGCCCTGCTGGCCCCTTTTCTTGTCCTCGCGGCTCTTTTGGGCGCGCTCCATGTCCTCCTTGAGCCGCTCCTCTTCGGGCATCTCGCGCCTCCGCTCGATCTCGTCCTTTTCCCGGCGCTTCTCTTCGAGCGCCTCACGGTCGCGCTTGATGCGCTCCAGCTCGCGGATGCGCCACGCCTGGAACTCGGCGTCCGGGTCCTTGCCGTCGGTGTCGTCGAGGTCCGGCTTAGTTTCCTGATGCTCCTTTTCCGCCAGCTCGGCGCGAATGCGAGCCGCAGCTAGCGCGTGCGACTCTTGCCGCCGAGCCAGGAGCGCCGCTTCGGCTGCTGCCGCGCTGGCGTCTGATGTCGTAGCGGTGCCAGGCGCCGCCGTCGGAGCAGCGGGGTCCGTCCCGGGTGCAGATGCCTGGGCCTCTCGTTGCCGTCTGGAGTGTGGAGGACGGGAGACGAGGTTGACGGAGAAGAGAAGGCTTTGGAATGAGCGCAGTTCCCATCACGGATGCATGCCGCCGAAACATGATGCTGTACTCACTTGGATACGAAAACGGGCTTCAGCATGGGCTTGACCTCCTCCTCCTCCTCCTCTTCTTCGCTGCTCTCGCCTTCTTCGCTGTCGCTTTCGTACTCTCCGCTGCTGCTCTCTTGCTTGACCTGCGGCTCCGACTTTCCCGGTGCGCGAAAGACGGGTCGCGGGGGTGGCTCGTCCTGCTCGCTGTCGGTCTCGTACTCGCTGCTGTCCGTGCCTTGGCCAGGCTGCGCGGATTTGAGCGAGAGATCGACCTTCCTCGTCGTCGTGGACGGGCCGAAGGAAGTGACGGCGACGCCCTGGCCCAGGGTATTGGAGGCTCCTGCTGCCGTGGCGGCGGCGGCGGCGGCGGAGGCATCTGCGTGGTCCTGCTCGTCGTAGTCGGAATCCGAGAGGTCGGCGGGGTCGACGCCCGCGACGGGGGCCTTGCCCGGTCGGTAGCGCGTCGCAGCGCGGGCGACGCGGTGTCCGCCTGCGCCGGCTGCGGCGGGACGAGGTGGTGGAGGCGCCATGTTTGAGGTGCAGGCCGCCGTCGGCGCGGGCGAGGCAGCAAGTCGGTCGGGGAGCGAGGTGCGGTCGGGGCGAGCGGTTGTTGGTGGTCTGCGGTCAGGAAGGCAGCCCGAGAAAGAGGGTCGCGGCCGCGGCCTGGCGTCACCTGCCTGCCTGCCTGCTCCACTTTCCAAGGCTTGGTCTCGGACCCGCTTCCGAGGCCCCCCTTGTTGGCCTGGCCCACAACCTGCCTGGCCGCGTGCAAACCAGCTGGCTGCAGGCGTGCATCTGCTGCTTCGATTTCGGCCTCGGCTTGGGCACCGCCCACGCCCGCACGCCTGGTCGGCTGGTTTCCAAAAGGACGGCCGCCTTCCGACATCCTGGCGAGCATATCGAAGCGTCGGCGGGCGACCATATGGCCGCTTCGACGCCCAGCCAGGCTGCAAAGCACCGCAACGCACCGCACCGCACCGCCAGCCGCCGGCTTCCACCGAAGAGGCAGGCAGGGGCATGCCAGCCAGCGAGAGAGTCACATGCACCGCTCGACGGCGTCTCGAGCTGCGTGCGTACAGAGGTAACGGGCCTGCTGCTTCTTCTCCTGGAACCGGCAGCGACGTGACCTGATTCGCTCGGGCTTGGCTTGGCCCTCCTTGCCGGTCCCAAGCAGTTTCTCGGCATGCCCCGTCCTGTCCTGTCCTGCCCTGTCCTGTCCTTCGCCCCTCTCTGTTGCCTCACGGTCAAAGAGAGGGCCCCCATTTCTCTGTTCCCGTCGTCGCTCGACACCTCTCGACCACCATCCTCACCTCTCCGCTCCCATCTCTTGAAGCCGTGCGGCTGTCAGTCGCCATGTCGCTCGCTACGCGCATCTACCTCTGGCTGGGCGTGCCGCGCCCCTTTGACGCGCAGCACCGCTACGTGACCTCGTACCTCCTGCCTCCCTTCTACCTCTTCCTCTGGCGCGCCACCGTCGGCCTCTACGCCCTCTTTGCCTGCATCTACACCGCCGCCCGCGATGGCGGCAGCACCTTTAGCTACTTCACCAACATGTGCTACTTTGGCCTCGCCGGCTACTTCCTCGCCAGCGCCGCGCACACCCTCTCGTTCTGGCTGAGCTTACGGCGATGGCAGCGAAGCCGCTCCTCGTCGTCGTCTTCGTCGTCGCCGTCGTCGGACTCGTCGATGGCTGCGGCAGAGTACGACGAGAAAAAGGCCGGAACCGTCTCGTCGCACGGCGCCGAAGAGGCCGGCGAGGCCCCGCCACGCTCGTCTGCCTCGTACCCGCGCTCCTGGCTTGACTCGTTCCCGCGTCCCCTCCAGGCAGCCCATGCGCTGCTGGTGAGCACCCTGACGACCTACCCGCTCATCGTCACCATCGTGTACTGGCTGCTGCTCGGCAACGGCACCAGCTTCCGCACGGCCTACACGTCCTACTCCAACATGTCCAAGCACGCCCTCAACCTCGCCGTCGCCGTGACCGACGCCGTCATCCTCAGCCGCGCTCCCATGCGGCCTTGGTGGCACCTCCTCGCCGTCGTCGTCATGATCGCGTCCTACATCGGCGTCGCCTACATCACCCAGTGAGTCGATCCGAGCGGCGGTCCGAGGGTGGGAGTGTACGCTGACTGGGCTGACCCTCGACCGTCGCCCGCTTCGCCCTGCCTGCCACCGCCGTTTGTAGCGCGACCCAGGGCTTCTACACGTACGACTTCCTGGACCTGTCCAAGCACAGCTCCGGCGTCGTGGCCGCCTACGTACGTCCCAAGTCTCCCAGGGTCGATGCTCTTTTGTTCCCCCTTCGCGACCTGACCTCTCATGTCCGTCCGCTCGTCCCGTTTCGTCTCCCGGCAGATCATCGGCATCGGCGTCGGCACCGTCGTGTCGTTCATGATCGGCCAGCTGCTCATCTTCCTGCGCGAGTGGGTCGCGGCGCGCATCCAGAAGAGCGGCGGCTGGGGATCCGCCCGCGTCGCCGGCGTCGTCGACGACGCCTTTGTGCCCACGCCCCGCGGACCGGGACCCGAGGGCGAGGGCGGAAAGAGGACCGAGGAGTCTCAGTGGCGCGGTCGCTGGCCCGCTTCGGCCGCCGAGTAGCGGTTGGCTGATGCTGCGCTGCATGGCCGGAAAGGATGCCGAGGTCGGCCTTGGGAAGCAGTACTCTGGAAAGCACCGGGAGAGGGTGACGATGGCGCGGCGTCGAGTCGTCCACCGGATTGGTTGTATACCCCTCATTCTTTTGTCGCTCGTTTTGGAGACACCACTCTCGCCGGACGGCCCTCTTGTCATGGAATCCACCACGGACTCATCTTCATCATTGCTCTGCGCGCGGGGAGAGAGGGAGAGAGGGAGAGAGAGAGAGAGGCGCGACTGGCAAGGCCATCGATCAGGCCCGTTTGGCAAAGTCGACCTGCAACGTCGTGTCGGGCGAGAGCTTGAAGCCCTGCATCGCCGACCGGGCGCTCGATGCCTGCTCGGTCGAGGCAAACGTGACAAAGGCGTGGTGCGTCGGCTTGCTCTGCAGCATGACGCTCTCGAACCCGGCGTGTCTGTGCGGCCGGATGGGTGGGCGTGCAGGAACAGGCAGCGAAAGAGAAGCTTCAGACGACGCTCGTTCAAGGGCCAAAGGCGGATGCGCTCGGCGCGCACGCGCGCGCTGTCGACTCACTGCTGGAAGAGGACACCGAGCTGCTCCTCGGACGTCTCTGCCGGCAGATCCGAGCAGAGCAGGATGGGATTCGCAACGTCGCCGGGCAGAGACTGCGGTGGCGAGTTGGGGTCAAATGTGGCGGGGGCAGGGGCGGGTTGTGGGCCTTCGTCTTCGTTGTCGGACTCTCCGCCAATCTCCATGGCGTCTGCAACGGCGTGCGGTGCAACAAGAGGATGAGAAGCGAGAAGCGAGATTCAGCTGATGCGCTGGGCTTCGCCAGCGTCAATGCTGCGACAGACTCACCACCATCGTCTTCGTCCTCGTCGCCGCCCCGCCTGACTTTCTTGGGTCCCTCTCCGTCTTCGTCGTCGTCGTCGCTCGCCACGCCCGCCTCCTCCCTAGCCCTCTTCTTCTCCCTCCCCTGGGCCTCCGCCTGGGCCCTCGAGATCGTCACCTTGCCCTGCTGCCCTTGCTGCCCGGCACCCGTTCCGCTCTGGGCGGCGAGCCTGTTTTTGCTGTTGGCGAGCTCCTGGTCAAAGAGGGCCTCGGGCCCGAGCTCCTGGACGAGCGTGGCCTTGGACTTGGTCCGGGCGTACTCGATCGAGAGCGGCTTGTCATAGAACTCGAAGCCGCTCAGGCCCCGCATCGCCGCCGTCGAGGCCGTTAGGTCCTTGAACACGACAAACGCCTGCCCGCGCATCCCGTCGGCCCGCGTGGCCACAATGTCGAGAAGCTTGCCGTACGTCGAAAAGAGCGACGTCAGCTGCCGCCGCAGCTCTACAGCGTCGTAAAAAGAGGGAAATCAAGCGACAGGAAGCGGTCCGTCAGGTAATCGTGCACAGGACGAGCGACCCTAGGAGGATCCCCAGAGCAACGGCAACGTACCTGGCTTCTTGACCTTGGTGTTGATGTTCTTGACGAACAGCGTCGTGTTGGGCGGAATCGCAGGCATCCTGTGCAACCTCCTTGTCCTGTCCCTGGCTGTGCCTATGAGGCTCTGCTGTATCTGCTGTTGTCGGAGAGGGTACAAGTCGGGTCGCAGGGGACTGGCGAGATGGAAGAACGGTGATGGGGTCGGAAGGATGAGAAGGAAGACGGGCAAAAGTCGAGACGGTGCGAAGAGCTGCCCGCCGCCGCCGGCCTGCCTCTCTGCCTCTGTGCCGCGCCCCAGCGCGTTGGAGGGGTGGAGGGCGCGCCCGATCCCACCTAGCTTGCCCGATGCGCTGCCATCGTCCTCATCCTGGCACCGCTCGCAGACACCATCATCTAGAGCCACCTTGGAAACGGTTCGACGAGTCGATCAATCATGCTCGAACAGCTGACGGAGGACAGGGGAGCCACTCTCATATCCGACCGCTGAAAGACGAGAGCCAGGCAACGACCCTGGCGAGGTGTGCCCGGGCGAGAGGCAGAGGCAGTGGGTGGTGTCTGCCAGGCCTGGCCCTCGCGACAGAGAACCTCGAATCCTGCCTGCATTCGATGGCTCAACGTGGCCACCTTTGACATTCCCATCTGCCACACTACTACCAAGCCTGCTCTACTTCTCGTCGGGGACGAGGCGGATATCGAAGCACAGCTGGCGATCCACGCCAAAGTCCTTTGCCTCCTGGGTCCTCGGCTCGACAAAGTCGACGGTGAGGTCCGACTTGTCGGCAAAGACGGCATCGGCGCCGAGGTACTTGCACTGTCGGTCAAAGATCTGCAGCGGCGATCCGGGAGGGAAGGCAGGGAGGAGGGACGACGGTCAGCGACGGTGCCTGGGCAGAGGCGCGGCGTTCGCACGATGGCACTCTACTGACCTGGGTGACGAGCTGCTTGTGGCCCGGCGCGTCGATGAGGAAGTGGATGTGTGCGGGTCGCATCGGGCTCCGGTCGAGCAGCTTGAGGATGTCGCCGGCGCCGCCGTCGTAGGGGATCGGGTAGGCGGTGGGGACGAGGCAGCGGAACGAGTACCTGCCGTCGGCTGCGGTGTTGAAGCGGCCGCGGTAGTTGTAGTCGGGCTGGTCGGGGTCCTGCTGCTCGTAGAAGCCGTTGGGGCCCGTGTGCCACACGTCGATCCGGGCGTTGTCGATGGGCCGACCGGTCTTGGCCGAGGTGACGGTGCCGTAGAGGTAGCAGGTAAGCCCCTTGTTGCCGTCCTGCGACTTGATCGAGTGGTCGAGGACAATGTCGGCGCCCATCGGGTACTCTGGCGCGTTCTCGCGGTAGAATGGCCCGAGGATGGCCGAGACGGTGGCTTTGCTGCTCTCCTCGGCGCCGTCGGTCGAAGAGGCGGTGCCAGTCTGCTTCAAGGCGCGCTCGTGGGAGAGGGTGTCGACGAGCGACTCGACGCCGAGGATGTCGGAGATGAGGATCATCTCATCGCGCTTCTCGTCGCTCATCTTGCCCGAGCGGTTGAGGAGCTCGCAGGCGGCCAGCCACTCGGCGTTGGTGAGCTCGACCTCGTTGATAAAGGCGTGCAGGTGCTTCATCAGGCTGTCGAGGACCTGCTTGCCGCGCGGGTGCGCCTTGGGCCCGCTGACACCTTGGCAGGCCGACGTGTAGGCTGCCAGCGTGTCGGCGTCGAGGAGCGGATTGGCCGCGGCGGCAGCGGCGGCCGAGGACGATGAGGATGACGAGGTCATGGAACAACGATCTCTGGAGGGTTCGGGAGGGCGACGAGCGGTAGTGTGAGGCGGGCCGGGGGCGGTGATGGTGTTGTCCAAGGTGGAAGGACGGGAAGGACGAGGTTGGCGAGGAGAGGCGCCCTTTTATCCCCGGAGGCCGTCCGGAGGGCAGCGCCAGGGAATCTGGGCACAATGCGACTCCTAGCCTGCCGTTAACGCCGATCATCCTCCTAGAGCCTCATCGTAGCGGGACCACGGCTGTCTGTCGCAGAGGTCGATCGTACCATGGATCGATGCGAGAGCCTTGGTTCGCCACTCTATTGTCCTCGAGGCCGAGATGCGAGGCGGGGGGCGGTGGTGGCATCCGTTCCGACATTTGCGGCTGGCCTCTTTCCCCGCACTTGGAACCACGCTCGGGCCATCGTGACCGCAACTGCACCGAGCGTACGCACCCTCGGCGGAAGCGACGGAGATAGGCCAGGCAAGGCGGGCAGGCTTCGGCAAGCAACCGCGCTGGTCCCGAACACCTTGCTTTGCTTGCTCGCCGGCTTGTTTCTCTGCTGACTGGCGACTCACTTCGCGCTGGGTCGCCTGGCCGGCTGCGAAGGCCGTTGCTGACCCTCCGGTGCTCGCCCTCGTCACTAACACCACCACCACCACCACCACCACCGCCGCCGCCTCCGCCGCCATCCCTCGCGCAGCCCCTCTGCCAGCAATGCCGCTCTGCACCCTCCATCTGGTCCGCCTCGACAGTGGCACCACCATCCGAGGCTTCCTGATCCAGCTGCTTCGCCACGCCTCGTCCTCCGAGGCCGGCCAAGGGTTCAGAGTGGTGACGGCCTCGCAGGTCCGCCATCCCGTCGTTCTCGCGACTCGACTCGACTCGACGCTGCTCAACTCGACCATGTGGGACCTCGTCGTCCTCCTTGCCCCGATCCCATCGACCTCGACCTCGACCTCGACCTCGGCACCGCCACCGACCACCTTCCCCGCAGCGCTCGAGGAGCAGCTCGCGGCGCACTACACGGTCGTCACGGGCGTCCCCTCAAAGCTGGTCGACGGCTACTCGGAGACGACGCGCCGCCTCAACGCCGCGCAGTCGCCGCCGCTCACCGCGCTCGGCTCGCCTCCCTCGACGACGCCGCCGAGCCGCTCCACCGCGACCGAGAAGACGGTGAGCTCGTCGCAGAACCTTGAGCTTTCCCCTACGCTCCTCGACTTCGCCTACCGCCTTCGACAGCACCTCGGCCACGCCGGCAGCGTCACCATGCTCAACCTCATGCACTTCCACTCGACCCCTGGCGCCATGGAGAGCTACCACCGCTACGGCCAGGGCTTCGCCACCGTCGGCGGCTCAAAGGGCGGTAACGCCAAGATCGTCGGCGTCGTCGTCCCGCCGCCCGCGCAGTCGTCGTACGACTCCCGCGGCGATCGCCAGAGGGCCAAGCAGGACTGGTGGAACGAGTGCAGCCTCGTCCACTACCCCTCGATCGACCACTTCTGCGACATGGCGGCCGACCCAGAGTACCAGCGGATCAACGCAGAGCATCGCCTAGGAGTGAGTCGATGGCGAGGAAGGCGAGCAGTGTGTGCGTGTGCAGATTCGTGTTGCTGAATGCGTCCGTCGTTCGCTCGCCCGGTCTATCTGCTGCTTTCCACGCCGCCACCGCCGCTGCAGGCGCTGAGGGATACGACGCTTATCTGCACGACCGAGATCGACCTCGAGGCCCTTGCCGGCGACTCGGCGTCGTCGACGTTGTAGTCTAGCGTAGCCAAGCGTAGCCTAATAACGACGCCGCCGCCCGATGACTAAGACTGCACCGTGACGGCCTGGGCCTCCCTCTTGCGCTCCCGCCGCTGCGCCAGGCCCCGCAGGCCCCAGCTCACGTTTTCGTACACGACAAAGGTGACGCACGTGCCGGGCAGGATGCGCACCAGGTTGGGCACCAGGCCCTTGTAGAACGCCCGCAGCCCTTCCTGCGTATAGGTGAGCCGGATGCACGTCGGGATGTTGGGGTAGATGTGCGACGTGGCGTGGTTCTGTGGCGACGTTCGAGAAAAAGAGGCAGGGAGAAAGGGAGAGGCGGTTAGCTACCAGCCCGTATCGAACGACGCGGTGTCCTCCGGGAAGCACGCACCTGGATGCGAGACCGGATGACCTGGTAGGGATAGGTCAGCAGGATGGCGGCCACCTTGGACGTCCCGGACATGACAATGTACTCGATGTTGCTCTGGAGCGCAGGCGAGGACGACGACGACCGAGAGAGCGAGTGCGTGTATGTGTTTCAGCGGCCACTGTCGGCCTGGATGCCTACCGTGTCGCCGCCGACGACTCACCAGCATGATCTTGTCCCCGTCGGCCCTTGCACCGCCAGCGCCAGCGCCGCCGCCCGCCGAGCGCATCTTGCGCAGCGCCACCGTGGTCCGCCACTTTTTCAGCTCTTCGTAGGCCATGAACTGGATGGCGCCGTTGCTGACGCCAAACAGCGCCAGCCCGGCGCCCTTGTACAGCCCGCGTATCCCCTCGTTGCGGGCAATCGAGGTGAGGCCGTGCCACAGGCCCCGGTAGACTTCGGGCGCGGCCCTGCCGCCGTCGGTCGCCGCCGACGTGGTCGCGTTTGCAAGGCTGCTGGCGGGCGTGGTAAACATGCGCGTCTTGACGACCCAGATGGGGTTGGTCATGAGGGCGGTGACTGCGCCGCTCTCGCTGGCGGCAAGGAGGTGCTGCCCGGCCGAAAGCTGCTGCTTCTGGCCGTCGCTGTCGAGCCCTGTGGGCAGGTCACCGGCCATGTAGTCCTTGATCATGGTGTACCAAAGGAAATAGAGGCCCCAGCTGGCCGAATTGCCGACGACATTGGGGCTGAGGCCGCGGTAGAGGCCCTTCCAGCCGTCGGTGCGCACAATATCGTTGAGCGCAGAGATCATGTCGTGGCCCACCTTGCCGCCGAGCGCATAGTAGCGCCATCCCTTGGCGGTGCGGGCGCCACCTGCGAGTGTGGCCTGTGACGGCGTTGCGCCCGGAAGCGCCCTCTCCTTGCCCTTGACGCTGGCGCCGGCGACATCCGAAGCGCGGAAGCGGAGGCTGCGGGGCTTTGTGGTGTCGACCTGGAACTTGGTCTTGATGAGGTCGAGCGGGTTCATGCAGACGGTAGCGGCCGCGCCCGCGGCTATCCCCGCGAATGCGTGGTCGATGGCATGGGTTGGGAAAAAGGGGGGCGTGGTTGGAGCGTTTGATGTCGACGCCGACGACGTAGACGACGAGGACGCCGACATCGCTTTCGGCGACCCTGACCCGGACGACGACGACGACGATGACGACGCTGCTGCTAATGGCGAGGTGGCCGAGGACGACGAGGCAAAGGCCGAGGTGACGGCGTTGTCCGGCGTCGAGATGGAAGGCTGATCGTCGGGCGGCGCCGGCGTGGGAGTGACGAGCGAGCTGGCAGGACGGCCACTCATGTCTGCAAGGATCGCACCGGGAGGCTGTCTCGTTGGCGATGGGGACAGCTGCTGCTGGCGTCGGGCAGGCGTTGAACAGTCGAGCGAGGATGGGATGGTGGAGGTACGATGGACGAGCAGGCCAGACGGCTTGCCACAGCACTTTGGGCTCTCTGACCGTGTTCGGGCGGTGGGGCCTGGAAGAAAGTCAGCAGAGCAGATGGAGCCACAGCCAAGCCAGCAGGGCCAGCAGGGCCAGCAGGGCCGTATCAGCCGAAATTCGCCCGAGTGCCGAGGCCCGGCAGGCCACCCATGCTAGCAGCCCGCAGCTGCCAGCTCCACTTGGCTGCCGCGGGGCAAAGAGGTCGGTCATCCTGCCTGCCCATTTCGCGCCCGACCGACGCTGTTGGCCGGATGGCAGGCCAGCCTCGGGCCAGCCGATGCGTACGTGGCACAGCTAGGGTTGATCAACAAAGCTGCTGTCGAGCAAGCTCAGGCAGGATCCCGACGAATGGATGGCGCCATGATGGGCTGGCCTTCCGTTGAGGCGGCCGCATGGGCGAGCGGGGTCAGGCTACGGAGGAGCAGCGGCCTGGTGACGTTGCGAAGGAAGCAGCGGCAGCAGCCTGGGCGGTCGCGCGGGCCGAGCGCGGGGGAAGGCTCGAGCCGTGAGGGCACGGAGCAGCGATCGCAGAACAGGCCCGCCTCAGAGCCAGCCGGGCGCCAGAGCCAGAGAGAGGCCCGCGGCATACGGCTTCGACCGGCCCATCCACGTTGGCCGTCGCCTGCTGGCCTGCCATCCACCCCATCCTGCCCCGCAACAGTGTAGTAGTCTGCTCGGCCGGCCACCGTATCTTCCACCACCCACCACCGTCGCCGTCGCCGCCTCATCGGATACCGGCACGCATCGATCCATCCATCCATCCGTCCGTCCATCCGCTCTTTCATCCCCTCTTGCTCTGCTTCGCTGCTTCCATCCGGCCTCGAGATCAATTTCGTCCTCGCACCGGCTCCTAGACCCTCCAGAGTCCGCCCCTCGAAACCCCGCGGGCCCCCCGAATCCCCTCTCCCTGCCGCCTTCGCCGCACCGGGACGAGCCGAGTTCGCCAACGATGCAGAGTCCAGCTCCTGCGGCGGGCTCAGGGCCGGCCTCGGCCCTCGCCCTCTCGCCCATCGAGCGCTCCGCCTTTGCCCACCTCTTCAACCTCGCAGACCCGGACCGCACCGGCATCGTCACCGGCGACGCCGCCGTCTCGTTCTTTGCCAAGTCCAAGCTGCCTCCCGCAACGCTCGGCCAGATCTGGGCCATCGCCGACAGCGCCAACAACGGCTTCCTCACCCCGCCCTCGTTCAGCACCGCCCTCCGCCTCATCGGCCATGCCCAGCGCGGCGAGACCGTGACCGAGGCGCTCGCAAAGCGGCCCGGCCCGCCTCCGACGCTCGAAGGAATCACCCTGCCCCTCAGCGCACAGCTGACCGGCGGCGCCCCCGCCGCGGGCGCAGCGGCAGCAGCACCGCCCCCCAACATGCCCGGCGTCATCGAGATCAAGCCCGAGGACCGCGCCCGCTACACGCGCATCTTTGCAAGCTCCGGTCCCCAGGGCGGACTCATCGACGGCGAAAAGGCCAAGGAGATCTTTGTCAAGTCCAAGCTGCCCTTTGACAAGCTCGGCGCCATCTGGAACCTCGCAGACACCCAGGCCAGGGGCGCCCTCGACCTCACCGACTTCATCATCGGCATGCACTTCATCCAGAACACCATGAACGGCTCTCTCAACTCGATCCCCGCAGCGCTGCCCCCGGGCCTCTACGAGCAGGCAAAGGGCTCGGCGTCGCGCATTGGCGGCGGCGGCTTCTCTGGCGTACCCCTGGCCGCGCAGATGACGGGCGGATCCGCCTCGGGCGCCATCCCGCGCCAGTTTACGGGCCAGCCACCGCTCTCGGGCTCGGCCTCGCGTACCTTTTCGCCCGCCCCTCATCCTCCTGCCGCCGCCGCCGCCGGCATGTCGGCCTTCCAGTCGCCCCAGACCACGGGCGTCGACGCTTCCCGGTGGGACGTGACGCCCGAGGAGAAGCTGCGCTCCGACCGCTTCTTTGACGGCCTCGATGTCGAGAAAAAGGGCGAGCTCGAGGGTGCGGCCGTGGTGCCCTTCTTCATGCAGAGCAAGCTGACCGAAGCCTCGCTGGCCCACATCTGGTGAGTCGTCCGCGGTCATCCGAGACCGCGCCCCGATGCCGGGATCCCCATCGCTGACGCTCCGAGCTTGTGCCTCTCTGCCCTCGTGCCTCTTGCAGGGACCTCTCGGACGTCACCCAGACGGGCACGCTCTCCAAGGACGAGTTCGCTGTCGCCATGCACCTCATCAACCAGCAGCTTGCCGGCAAGGAGCTGCCGCAGGAGCTGCCGCAGACCCTCATCCCGCCCAGCATGCGCACCATGAGCCTGCCGCAGGCCGTCAACCCGCAGCAGACGGACACGCAAAAGGACCTCTTCTCGCTCATGGACGACGACCCGCCGCCGCCCGCCGTGCCCGCGACCTCGGCGTTCATTGCGCCCTCGTCCAACGCGCCCACCGTGGCCAATGTGGCTGCCGGCACCGCCGGTGCAGCCGCTTCCACGACTCAGCCGGCCAGCGCATCCGGCCCATTCGACGACGACTTCTTCGGCGGCGCCAGCTCCACGCCGTCGCAGGCCCCCGCGGCGGGTGCGGCGACGGCCCTCTCACCGACGGCGACTGGCGGCAGCTTCGGCGGCGGTGCCGCGGGCGTGCGTTCGCCTTCGCTGCAGACCCCGGGCACACCGAGCCGAGGCGCTGGCGGTCTCGGCGACCAGAGCGCCGAGTTCGGCAACAAGTCGATCCAGCTCCAGAGCACGCAAAAGGCGGTCGCCGACCTGCAGGCCAAGCGGAGCGGGCTCGAGACCGCGGTGACGACCAACGCGGCCAGCCTGGCCGAGCTCGAGACGCGCCTGTCGACGGTGCGGAGCCAGCACGAGTCCGAGTCGAAGCTGGTCAAGGATCTCGAGGCGCGACGCAACGCGCAGAGCGAGGAGCTGCGCAAGCTGCGCGAGGACGTCATTCGCGAGGAGTCGGGCCTCAGCGCGCTCAAGGCGGAAAAGGACGAGCTGGAGCAGGCGGTGATGCACGACCGCGAAGACGTGCGCGACATGAAGAAGAAGATGGGCGAGATCCAGGTCGAGACCAAGGCGCTCAAGGAGACGCTCGAGAAGCTGCGCAAGGACGCGCGCCAGCAAAAGGGCCTCGTCGCCATCAGCAAGAAGCAGCTCGGCACCGCCGAGGCCGACCGCGAAAAGGTGCAGGCCGACATCGCCGCTGCCGAGCGAGGTGAGGGCCTGGCCGAGGAAGCGGCCACCCCGGCCGCCGTCGGCAACGCGCGAGATCTCGCGTCGCCCCGCTCCATCGCCTCGCCGGCTCTGCCCGCCGAGTCGGCGCTCAGTCCCGCGGCTAGCGTGCGCAGCACGAACCCATTCGACCGCTTCGGTCCCGCCGGTGCCGGGTCGTCGAGGCCCGAAAGCCCCGCCATGTCCATGTCGCAGCCGGCTCATTCCGGTCTCGATGCGGGCACGGCCGCGCTGGCCGGCGCGGGAGCTGGCGCTGCGCTCGGTGGGGCTGCCGCTGTCGGCATGGCCGCCACCAGCAGCGATGGAGGCAAGGGCAAAGACGATGATCCCTTTGCGGTCCAGAGGTCCGCCGGCGAGCAGCAGGCTTCGGCCACCGGCGCTCCGGGTGGCTTCGATGATGCGTTTGGCGTGCCCAATGACCCCGCCACCGCCACCGCCACCGCTCCTGCTGCCGGTGCCGCTGCGCACGCGGACTTTGACGACAACTTCGGCGACGACTTCGGCGCCTCGGCCGCTCCTGCGGCGACTACCGCGTCGGGCACGACCATTCCGGCCACGACGACGGCATTTGACGATGCCTTTGGCGACAACTTCGACGGCAACGACGCGGCCAAGGCCGGCCCCCAGGCTGGCGGCGAAGCAAAGGCAGGTGACGCTCCTGGTGCGAGCGCTGCCTCGACCTCCGACGGCTTTGGCAGCTCGTTCGCCCCCGCGTCAACGATTGCGACGCCCGGAGGAGCTGCTCCTGAGCCCGAGCACGCGCCTCAGTCCGACGAAGAAGACCACCAGCAGGCGCCTGGTGGACACCACGGCGGTGCCGAAGATGACAGCTCCGACGACGACAGCTCGGACGACGAGGATGGGCCGGAGGACGTGGGTGGCTACAAGCAGCCGACGGCTGGCGTCGGCGCCACCCCGATGACGGACACCACCGACGCTTCCGAGCGCTTCCCCGAGGTCAGCGCCACCGGCACGGACGATGACGCCGATGGCGAGTCTCCATTCGGCCGCGATGATGCCGCTCCCGCCACCGCAGCCGGCGATGAGGCAAGTCCCTCGATTCCTGGCGGCTTCGGAGCGTTTGGCGAGGCGGCCGAGGAGCCCACTGCCGCGGGCAAAGAGCGGTCCGCCTCGACCTCGGCGCCCGTCGACTCTTCGGCCGTCGGTGCCGGCGAGACTGCCAGCGTTGCCTCGATCGCGCCCGTCAGTCGCCAGGAGACTGGTGCCGGCGATGAGGGCGAGACCGTCGGAGCAGACCAGCAGAGCAGCTCGCTCTCCACCGGCCTGGGTGCTGGCGTTGGCGCCGGCGCTGGTGCTGCCGTCCTGACGGGACTCGGCGCGGGCGCTACCGTCGCTGCGACTGGATCGGGAGAGGCTCCCCCGCTGAGCCCCTCGGCCGAGGACGACGATGTGCCGCTCGGGCAGATTCTTTCGAAGCGCGCAGCAGCGACGGGCCCGACCGGCGCAGACGCCACCTCGACGGCATCGCAGCCCTCGCTGAGCCCGAGCAGCTCGATCAAGACACGTCGAGCCCCTCCGCCCGCGCCCGTGCGGCAGGCTTCGTCGCTCAGCTCAGCTCCAACCGTGCTGGCGGCC